AATCTTATACTGATTTTCTGAAAACTATTCATTAGAAACATGTTTTCCACCGAAACTGATGGCGTTAGTAGAATTGTTAGTTACAATTATTAATTATTTAAATTGGAAATTTACATTTCTATAGAACCTGAAAGAGTTAACATTTATCTCATGCATATTTCCACGAACCAAACGGAAAAAAAAAAAAAAAAGAGAGTTAAAAAATGCCCCTTTCAAAAGATCTTAAGAAAGCCAAAACAACTTTTCATCCTGTTTTTCAAGTATCCCAAATATGTTTCGTTCTCACTAATAAAGGCTACAAAAGATAATGCAAAATCTTATCTTGAGTTAACACATCCTAAAACAGACTACTTTATGAAACTATTTTAGAATCTTAGTTCGATAAAAACTCTACTTTTTAAGGACAGACGTATTCATCATAATGAAAAGTTTGCTAGGAATTGATAGTATTAGTTGAACGGTCAAGAACTCTTAGTAAGATCTTTGTAAGACAGTAGATAGCTATAAATTGTACGAGAATTGTCATGATTTTTTAGAAAAAAACTTTGGTATAAGATAAATTCTTTTTGGTTTGGTTAAGTCTTAGAAAAACTGATCTTTGTACTTTACTTTTTTGGATATTAGTAAAATATGGGTCCTCCTGTCAGGTATCGTTATGAATTTTTCAAAAAAAATAAAATAAAAAAGTACTTCCTCCGTTCTAAAATATGTGTCGTTTTAGCAAAATAAAGAAATTCCAAAATAAGTGTCGTTTTCGCATTCTAATGCATTTTTTATAAAAATTTCCTGACACACCCTCAAAAGAAATAATATTATTGGTGGGCATTTATTTTAATGGGGTTGGTTGAGGATATTCTAGTAATTTAACTATTATATTTATTGTTTTCTTAAACTGTGTGCAAATTCTATAACGACACTTATTTTAGAACGGAAGGAATAATCAACTCTATTTCCGTTTTACCCTGTCGAAAGTCAAAACACATATTTTTTAAGAAGATGACAGTAATTCTAAGTCAAAGTACAAATAAAAAGAGAATTATTTTAAATGATCTGATATAAAAATTATTCTCTGTCTCAAAAAAAACGTCCACAAATTTATTAACTTTATCAATAACGAGACTAATAGATACCTCATTCATCCTTAAAATCAAATTTTACTATTTTGTTTTTTATTTTTTTATTGATTTGCTTGTGATTGAGATTATCTTAGTACATAAATTTTTCCAAACCTTCTAACTTTAGTTTGAATGGAGAAAACAAAAATCCGAAAAACTATACACTATGGAGAGAAGCATCTAAAATTTTACTTTTGACTCCAAACAAACAAATACGTATACAAATTATACAATTGTCAACGATGTATGGCCAGTGATTTGAAAGCAAAACGTTTTTACGTTCTCTCAAACCCAAATCCCAATATAAAATATGCAACATTCATACAACATATTAATTTAAATTTAAATTTTACCCTAAAACTTATAATTTTATACAATTTTCAATCATCACCACCGGAACACCATCCTACTTCCGCCGGACCATCGCTGGCCAATCGGATTCGGCCAACTTGGAGGTGGCGTGGTTTTATTTTGAAGATTGGATCTTCTATGAATAATAATATTATTTTATTTTGAAGATTGGATTTCTCTATGAGTAATAATATTATTTTGGATAAAAAGTAAAATTCTTTTAATACCAAAACACCAATATTTTTTACAAACCTGTTAACTTTTTACACAGCATTTTTTGATAACAAAATACCCAATCTAGCTAAGTAGTTAAGTTCTAGATGCCTACCCTTTTTACAAGAAAATTGGATTTTCCAAGTTTCTTCCTGTCTGATTCTCTCAACCATATTTATCAAATCGTGTTACATATCATGTATCAAAAATCTAAATTTATGATACGCATATCGTATCGTGTATCGTATCGTAAGATACGTTTTAATATAATATATATATATAGAATAAATAATAAATATCATAAAATCCATATGTAATTGATATATTTATATATTTATTTATTTTTCAGTTATAAATAATAAATTGATTAAGTTGAATTAAAGATTATTTGAAAGTTACACAAACTACTCATTTAATAAATGAATAATGGTCATAAAATATATGTGATAAATAATATTTTTCATATTATTATAGCCATAAATTTAATAGTGAGAAAATTAATATAAAAATGTATTGCATTCATTTAACATGTTATTAGTTGTACTTGATTTAAAGGATATTATGAATAAAATAATATTTTAATTATTTTATTTTTTAACAGTAAATAATTTATTAAGCAATTTTATCGTCAATTAAGAATGAGTATGTTTCTGAAAGAAATAAATAAAAATATCTATTTAAAACAAATTACAAATAAAATTCGTTCTTAATTTGAAATTTAATGGTTATTATGAAACAACAATTTAAATTCTTTTAAGAAAAAAATTATTTTTGCCTATGTTTTTGTATCATACGATACACCATGTATCATACGATACGTATCGATAATTGACCGATACACAAAGGATTACGATACATACCATGATACGCATCGAAATTCTTGATTTTGATACGTATCGTACGATACGTATCGTGTGTCGTACGATACTTACTACTATGCTCTAAACCCTTTCCTCCACTGTCAAACTATGCTGCCGGAACTTTCTGCAATTATGCTCATACCATATGTGATGTATAACTGCCATATTATATACTTCATATAAAAGAAATTAGTTCTCCCAATCAAATATGTGAATTATCAAAAGATTTTCTATGACACTTTTTGTGACAAATTAAATTCTTGAAATGTGTCTAATCACTTTCCAAATAGAGTTTCACTTTAAAATTGGATTAAGATATTAGTCATTATTATTTGCAAATAGTTATCCCTGTATATACGTAGATGATATAGTTTAAAGAGCAATGATACTCCTCTCCACTAACATAAATCTACTAATAACTCTTTTAAGATAGTAATCATGTTGACATATCCTTATCACTTCATTAATTTATAATATATTTAGTTTAAAAATTAAACACCCCTACCCATGGTAACAGCTTTTTTTCTTTTCTCTTTCACAGAAACACTAAAATACATCAGTCTGAGATTTAAGTCCCTTTTTTAATAGAATACCCTTCAACTGTCACCTAGATTTCATCCTTGTTACTCTCAACTTCGAGAATTTGAGTTTTCTTTTGTCCACATTGACTGACATATGTATTATTGAAAAGGGTTAATCTTTAGATTTCATCCTTGTTACTCTCAACTTCGAGAATTTGAGTTTTCTTTTGTCCACATTGACTGACATATGTATTATTGAAAAGGGTTAATCTTTATCATTGGCCACCAATCTTCAAGGCTGCACCAATTGTGTGAGGGTTCAATTGACTTAAAGAGGCTGTGTTAATTATATTCCAATTTGTAAGGTATTTTTATTGACGAGTCATTTAAAATTTTGCACGGTATAAAGGTTGATTGTTTCAAATCACATGCTAGACCTTAGTCATTTATATCAACATCTATATCCAGCAACAACAACATGGTGGGTTGTCGAAGCCCCAAAATAAATTACTAACTTAAACTATAGATAGGATAAGTCGGGTCGATCCCACAGAAACGGTTTAAACTTCAAATAAACGGAAAAAAAAATAAGAATACAAGAGCTGGACAAACAAGGAAGAAAATTGCAGATTCACTTGCCCGAGTGACAAAGTCACTCACGCGAATGGACTCTGCAGAACTAAAGACAAACAGACAACTGAAACCTTACTCACGGGAGTGAGAATTCTGACTCAGGGGACTGACTCAACAAATTGAGATATTCATTCTCTTTTCCCTATGTAATCAAGTGGTAATCTTGCACTCTTTTGGTATGAATTCATGCTCATTCAGGAACTTATATATCTCTAAGTCACTTCCGATTTTTCCTAGAGGTATCTTTATGAACTCAATTAAACTATTTTCCAATGATTAATCAAGTCATGAAGTCTTTAAGTTTTCAAGCCTTACATGAATGCTTATGCTAACCAAGTATATTTCTATCTCAATTAGAACCTTGGACTGTTATCTCCAAGTCATAAATTGACGCTGAAATCTATCCAAACCAAGTTTATCTTTCCAGATCTCCCCTAGTTCTAGCATGCATTCAATTAGTAATCAAGTAACCGAATGTAGAAAAACTTCCAACTTCAAAACATGTATTCAACAAGTGCATTACAAACACAAATTACATAGGTTCCAGAGAATGAAATCTGACTAACTACACATACAAACTATAAAACATATAAGAAAGGAAAGAAAGAAGCGAGAAGAAGCAAATCTGAATGCTGGATAACAGGTCACTCGCCTGAGTGACAGTGATGCCTGTTATCCCTCCTTGCTGCTACTGGACTTCTTCTTCTTGGAGTTCCTTCCTCTCTTCTTCGAGTCTGTGTAGTGTTGTTGTATTGTATGTGTGTTTTTTGTCCTCTGATATATGTTCTTTATGCTGGAAATGCAGCTCCTTTTATAGAGCTTGTTGCTGGTTCTTCTTCCAAGAGAGTCTCACCATGCTTGTGTATTTTTTATTAGCCCCAATGCCTTGTGTCTTGAATCCGGTTTTGACTGGCCTTTTCCCTTTCTTCAAACAGTGGTATCAGCAGCAGCATTGATCAATGTGGGTGGTTGGTTCTTCAGCCAAGGGGACAAGCATGCTCTTGGGTTTCTATGGTGGGACATTCTTATTTACTCCCAATGTGCTTTGTGTCTTGAAGTTACTTTTGACCAGTTCAGCAAATTTGAATCCAGCAGCCCAATTTTTGTTCCATAAGCCCCCTTTTTCAGCTAATGTTCACTCAGGTCTTTGCCTAATTAAAAACACAAAACTAGTTAAGTAAAATAAACTAATTCTGAGAAACACCCCTAATTTCTTACTAATTAAAGAATAAATTTCCATACTTTTATGTTACAAATTAACCGTTATCACAACAACCAACACTAATGTACGAAAGTTAAAAGAAAAAATGTTGGAAGAGCCAGCAAAGAGAGAAAAAATTGGGAGCAAGTCGTCTTCAATTGATGTGGAAGATAAAAGCATGCCGACTCCTCCAATTTCTTCAGTAGACAGGAAGATCTCCAAGCAGCAATTAAGTGCCATAATTGAACACAATGGCTCGGAGGAATATTGCTGGGAAATGGATGACGCAGGAAAAATTTCAAACCCTCAGGAAACAGAGTGCAAACAGCTTGTTGTTTTCGTTCCTCAGGTTAACTTATCTTCTCGTTTTGACGTTTTGGCAGCTATAATCAAAGATTAGGCGATTGATACTACAAATAGTGATAATCAGGACCCAAATGATGTAAATAATGTTGATGAAGACACCTCATCTGAAACAGAAGAGATCCAAATTGAAGCATTGACAGGCCGAGAAAAGGAACAAATGGATTTTTCTGAATACGTGCAAGATGACACTGTAGTTAGCAATCAGTCTGAAAATTTTGATTTACAGATAATGCGAGTGGTGGTATCTGATGATGAAAGCCTCAACCAAAGATAAGAAAATCAAACGTTTTGAAACTCAAAAATCGTCAAGACTCAATGATGAATCTCCTTATAAAGTTTCCAATGAGTAATCAACTTGTATGGAATATTCATGGTGTTGGGAATAAGTCGTCTCTTCGCCGTCTAAAAAAGTTAATTGCTATGCATTTTATTTCTTTTGTCATAATTTTAGAGCCTAGGTTGCCATCAACTCAAGTAGAGGATCTGAAAAATAAAATCCGTTTTAAAGATGCATTCTCATCCAATTCAGGAATTATTTGGGTCCTTTGCTCTCAGGAATGGTCTTCTCAGTTATTGGGAGGGTCTGACCAAGTTCTGCATATTGAAGTGGAAAATCGGAAAACGTCTAAAAAGGTTTTGGTGTCGGCAGTGTATGCGAAATTTACAAGATAGGAGAGACAGTTGCTATTGTCTGAATTGCAAGCTTATCCTGATCAAGTCATAGGAAGGCCGTGGATGATTGGAGGCGATTACAATGTGATTTGCAGTTTAGATGAATATAAGGGGAACTCATAGCCGGATCAAGGGTCAATTGATGATTTTAACTCTTGGATTAATGGTTGTAGATTACTGAAGGTTTCTGCCTTGGGCAATCTTTTTACTTGGATAGGAAATCGGCAAAATGGCCGAGTTTTGAAGAGGCTAGACAGAATTTTATTTAATCAGGAATGGTTAGACTCTTTCCCCATGTCTTCAGTTCATCATCTAAACATGTCGACATCGGATCATGCTCCTTTTTACACCAATTCATGGCAGAAATTGAAACCAGGCCTAGCATTTTTCGTTTTCAAAAAATGTGGATGAGAAGGGAGAACTTTCTGAACGTTGTTAAGAAGAATTGGGAGCAACCACTTGCGGAGTCAGGCATGTTGAGGTTTTCTTTGAAGCTCCGCCATTTGAAAATCTGTCTGAAGGAGTGGAATAAAACTGACTTCTGGGACGTGTTTCAGAATTTAAAAGAGGCCGAAGAAGCTGTTAGAATGAAGGAGTAGGAATTTGGTAACACTAGATCTGAAGAGGCTAGGATTGAAATGAATCGCTTGCAAGCACATTTGATACTTAAGTTGCGGGAACATGATGATTTTTTACAGCAACGGGCGAAGTTAAAATGGCTATGGGAAGGTGATGCAAACACCAAATACTTCCATGCTTCTTTACTTGAAAGGAAAACTCGGTTAGGAATTCATAAGATAAGTAGACATGATGGTTCATGGCTCTCAGACCGAAAAGAAATTGAGAAAGAAGCGGTGTTCTTCTTCAAGAATTTGTTAACTGAGGAAATGGCGGAAAATCATGATGAAGCAAGTAGGACGATCTTAGAAAACATTCCCTCACTCTTAAATGATTAAGACAACAACTGTTTGCTACAAAATTGAACTCTTGAGGAGATAAAGGATGCGGCAGATAGTCTTCACCCTACAAGTTCTCCTGGAATTGACGGTTTTGGGGGAGAATTTTATAGGCATTGCTGGCTCATTATAAATCAAGATCTTATGGTAGCCTGTGTGGAATTTATAAAAGGTATCCCCATTCCAAGAGAAATAAGCAACACGGTTATTAATTTAATCCCGAAGAAGGCGACAGCTACATCTTTTGCAGATTTCTGGCCAATTAGCTTGTGTAACTTCATAAACAAAGTGTTTACGAAGTTGCTCACAGAAAGGATGAAAATTTTTTTTCCTAGATTGATCTCGGATGAACAATCAGTTTCTTAGAAGGTCGCAATGTTGTGGATAACATTCTTGTTACTCAAGATCAAATTCAGTTCCTTGATCAGAAAGTACGAGGCAGAAATCTAATTTTGAAGGTGGATATGATGAAACTTTTTGATCGAATTGCATAGAGTTTTCTTCAATAGATTTTATCGAAGTTTGGCTTTCATCGAAACATTGTAAAGTTGGTAATGCTCAATCTAACAAGAAGCTCGTTTTCCATACTTATCAATGGAAGTCCGGTTGGTATTTTCAAGCTTCTCGGGGAATAAAGTAAGGGGATCCTCTCTCGCCTTATCTCTTCATCTTTCTACCGAATGCTTTAACTCGCAACATAAACAAGCCGACAGAATGTGGAAGAATAGCATTGTATAGTGTGCCGGCCAGAACAATTGCACCAACTCACCTGTGTTTTGCGGATGATCTAATAATCTTTATAAACGGCCTAAAGAGTTCTACGTAACAGTTGATGATATTCTTCCAGGACTATGAGGATGATACTGGGCAAAAAATGAACAAACAGAAGAGTACTTATTTAGTCTCGAATAGGAGCGGGGTTGAGCATAATTCATTCATCGAGAATACTCTACAAATGCAAAAAGGTGAATTTCCTTTCATGTATTTGGGATGCAAGTTATTCAAAGGAAGGAAAAAAGTTGAGTAGATTCATCACTTTACAAAAGCGATTGATGTTAAGTTATTGAGCTGGAAAAATCATTTTTTATTATAAGGAGGAAGGCTGCTACTGATCAAGCATGTTTTATCTGCAATTCCACTCCATACTATAGCTGCTATTGTACCCACTAAAACGGTCATTCAATTGTTTCAGCTGCAGAGATTAGAGCTACACTTTGTGGAAGAGCCGGATAGAGTGGTCTGGCAACCAACACCAAATGGAACCTTTTCAATTGTTTCAGCATATGAGGAAGTTCGACATCACAAAGAAGCAATTCATCCCTTTCAAAATTTTTGGAATAAGCTTATTCCTTCAAAAATCTCTTTCTTTGCATGGAAACTTGTTAATCGCTTACTTCCTTTCCCTGAAGTTTTGCAAAAAAAATTGGATTGATTTTGTGTCCTTTAACATGTCTTTTTTGTCAAGCAGACAAAGAGAGCATTGATCACATTTTTTATGCTTGTCAAAAAATAGAACCGGGTTGGCAATACTTTGCCTCATTTTTTGGAATTCTAATACCTAGGTTGGTGAAATAGTTTACAAACTTGGCAAGGAATGGGTAGCCCTACCTCAGCAAAAAAAATTAATTATGATGGTCCTAGCACTCTTCTTATTATGGGAACTTGGAAGATACGGAATAAAATCATTCATGATGGTTAGTTCTTAAAATTCTTACTTTTTTTCTTGGTATCAAAGCAGGTTCTTTTCTGCTTCTGTTTTTGTTTCCTTCAAAAATAAATCATAATTTCATACTTCCGCTTATCATTTTCTTTTTTGTTTTGGCATCTTAAAAAAAAACCATGATCGTGATTTCATAATCATGTTCATTCATGGATATTAGCAATTATGTAAGCGTAAATTCAAAATTTATCCCAAATCATTGTCTTGCCTTCCTTCTCTACTATTAATCCAATATTTTTTTGCAAAAAATATCCACAATCTTCAAAAGAATCTGTCACATATCAATCCCATTAAACTCACAATTTTTATCTCCATTAACCACAATTTTTATCTTTTTTTTTTTTTTGTTACAAATCAACTTCAATTGATCCACAAATTTAATTTCTGACAAAGAGGAAAGACACCAATTAGTCAATCCACAAAAATTTTCATTATGACAAAAGTTTCATTCTCTCATAAGAAGAGTTTTGACTTGTCATACAACAATCTACAAAAATCCTCATTATGACAAAAGTCTAATCTTCTCCCAAAAGAATGATTTTGACTTGTTATACCACAATCTAGCAAAGCAACAAAAATTTCAAGCAAGTTACCCAAAACATCGCCAGAGTCACTTAACACTGAGAATCGATAGTGATCTATAAGTTTTCTCACCGCTGCTGTTAAGGAAGAGAAAGCCATCAACAAAGTCAAAGAAACTGAGGGGATTAGCCCAAGGAGCTTATATATTGATATTCAGAGTCTCCCAAAAAGTAATGCTAAAAATATTTTCATTGGCATATACCATGTAAGTATTTCAATTACTATTCCTTTGGGTTTCTTTCATTGTTGTTTAATATCCTTTTTAATTGCAGAAAATTGATTAATTTTCACTATCATTTTGCAATAAAGATAAATTTATTTGAATTTATACAATTATTCAATGATTGAAATTATGATTAAAATCTTCGTCAAATATGATATCTTTATCCGCACAAGTGCGTATGTTGGTGAAGGTTTCAAGATTTTGGCCAGTAGCCCAAAACAATGACACAGTTAAGAATTTTCGTGTTTGCATGATGTCTAGATTAATCAGAAAGCGCATTCCGTGTGAATAGTTTTATGGTTAGTCACTACATGAATTGTTGAAGGAAAAAAGGAACCAATACCCCCATTCATGACTCATGAGTATATATATATATATAGGTACTCATATATTATATTTAGTTCATGGCTATACATTTCAAGTTTTCTTTGCTAAGATTTTTTTTCTTTTTGGGTATTTAGAATAATAGAAACAATAAGTCTTCTTCAGATTACGCAGGTTGGCTATCTTGAGTTTCTAACTTTTGCGTGTTTTGAATCAAGCATTGTTAACTAAATGCAAAATAATAAATTTGCAAATTGGTAAAAATATGCATATATGATAAACAACAAGATGATTCGTTTCAAATGGTATCTTGGGGAAAAATACAATTTCGAAATACACAAACAACTTTTTCTGGACTATGATTTTATCCATATTGATCGCATGCAAAATATCATCAAATTATTTAATCTGCATGGTATTTCTTTAATTATTGAACTGAAATCTCATATCTTCTTTATGTATATAGGTATGTTGTTTTGACGGAAAACTCTCACCGAGTAATGTAAGTTATGTTGGTGATATGCTACATCATGGAATATTTCGTTATTAATTAGTTACAAATATAACTGTAGAGATAAAGGATCATAGGAGTGAAGATATTACTACATGGACATCAATGTGCAAGTTCGACAAGATAAAGCGGGTGACATAAACTTAAAACAATTTACATACAAGATAGGAACATCTTCTCACGAGAAGTAGTGTATTTTTCATTTTTTACTATCCTTTTGTAAATATAGTTTTTTGTTTATCATGTATATATTCATTTATTTATGGTACATAGTTGTATACACTCA